TGTTTTAGTAAAAAACTTCAGTTTTTTTCATTTTATGTAAACTTGCGAATAGAATTTTTATTTGATTATTTTTGATTTTCAAACACAAGTATGAATATTCTTTAATGTACATATTCCTAATTACTTAAATACAATCCTTTGCAATGACAGTTATAGATAGAAAAAACCTTCATTCTTTAGAATAACAAGATTTATTCATTGTTTTGTATAAGTTATAATATCAGGAACACTGAAATAATTTTTAACAACAGAAAATTTTTAATTGATCTTAAAATAAAAAAATTATTAAAAATTCATTTCGGATACTGGCAACCCCCGACTTACATTTTTACGGTAAAAGTCTTGTATTTAATTTCGACAAGAAGTTAAAAGTGGCATTCTTTTAATTTTTATTGTAATTTAAATCCGCTATTTCAAGTTACAAGTCCCCTAACTCCAGGTCTATGAACGAACCATCTCATAAAATGTTGATAATGCATACAATAACATATTATTAATTAAGTAATTATAAAGTGTAAGATGCTCTCTTTCGCTTCTATAGAAGACATTATATGAGGGATTCTCAGAAAGAATTCGCATTACGCAAGTTGTACAATTCAAAAGTTTTGACTGGTGGTGTTACGGTGTTATGAATTTTCGGCGCAAACCATATTATTGTGAGGTTTCAATTAGAGAAAACTTTCAATCCAAGGAACAAGGGGAAAAAACAACTTCTGCAACTTCTATCATTTTACTTTCATTTGCTCTGTTTTTATCAAGATAGGTGTATTAGATTGTCTGGAAATATAAATATTGCTATATATCAAACATGGCAGGTCTCACATGTTCTCTATTTCACCACATAGAGCAGAGGTGCCAAACAAGCTTACCATGTAGAACATTGGGAGTTCGGCGTTGGTACACGGCCGGTGAATGGGTTTTTTAGTTTATTTTGTTTTTAATTTTATTTACGAAAAAAAGAGAATTCTTTCAATGTCATGAAAATGTATTTTAGATCCGTATGTTTGATATAGGTAACAAAAATAATATTCCAGTTCAGTCATTTTATTGTATAAATAATATACGTGTTCACCTTGCGAAGGAATATTCTCCAAGTTTATTAATTTCTTTTTTTTAAATAAGAGCTTATACTATTTGTAAATAATTATTGTGAAGGCGGTGGGAGATATAAAGAGAGACGAGGGGGTTAGTTCTGGCACACCTCATCATCGAAAACTACCATGGTTGTGGCTTTATAAAAGTTTTGGCACTCCAGGAGTATATACAGAACCGGAGTGATTTAATTTTCCTATTAGGTTGTTCGGAAAATAATGCAGGATTTGAAGTTTTATTTATATTAATCCTTTTTTTAATGGTGTAATCACATAATAATATTATTCCAAACAGAAATGTTTTTTATCGTTTGTAGCATTTCACTAATTGAAAATAATTCAGTCTTCACTAAGATGTCAAAGGATGATTTTCGTATGAGTTTAAACTCGTTCGGAACGGGTGAACGGCCAGAAATATTAATGAAGTGTAGGGAGACGGCAGTGTGAGTGCACCGTTTAACTATGGTTTAAGAAATTTCTAGAGGAGACTTTAGTTCTTGAAGGCAAAGTTGGTCGTGGGAGGACTTCTTTCACTGATGTTGTTCTGCAAGCTTTGGTTATTACGTTGTCTTGAAGAACATGCAGAGAAACTCTCTATAAGCAAATCGACCAATGCTGACCACCTCAACTCAATTGGAAACGTACCCACGCTTGAGATTTGAGTTCTTTGTGAAATATATCTCCGACAAAAAAATCTTCGTTTTTTTAATTTCCGTTGCTCTTCTTTTCCGAAAAAGGAACAAATCTTTTCAGCTCTACTCTCTAGAAATCTCACTCACTAACTACGATTATTTTTGTATATTTAGTTGCTTTATTAGGTTTTTCAAGGTTCTTAATGTACTTATAAACGGTGTCTCCAAGGATATATAAGCCCTTATAAGTTTACTACAGGAAGTGGGGTAGCTCAGTGGTACGGTTCTGATCTTCCAATGTTAAAAGTCCTAGGTTCGAATCCCGGCTCATGGCAGATAAATTATTTATTCTGTTTTTTGGCCGTGGAGCGACCCTGGGTAGGCAGACTCTCCTAGAGCACACCCAGCCTACGTAAAGTGGTGGGTTCCCTTAATTAAAATAATTAATTAAGGGGAAACACCTGGTGGTTGAGCGTGATCTCGGTCAAATCACCTCCTTACCATAGACCAAGAAACAGTACTGAACCCAAGACCCTTCATGGGTTGTAGTGGTGTAAACATTCCGCGCATAAACATAATAGAGCGCATTTTGATTAATAAAAATAGTTTAATATCACATATTTTATTTTTTTTTTATTTTACAACTACACTCAATTCAAATCAAAAATTATTTTATTACATATACAATAAAGTGGTGTGATTGCTATTTTTTCTGCTGAAATGTATTTTGTACAGTAGGAAAAAAAAAACCTACATAAGTTATAAATAGGAATAAATATAATAAAAACTATATGCTGATATTAAAATGTATAAATAAGATAAAATTAAGAACAGTCACATATTTTATATCTTATAAATTATTATTCAATAATTGGTGTAGTATGTTGCTGCTTGCTTATCAATATTTTGAATGTTATGAAGTTGGGTTTTGTTGCGTTTTTTGTGTGTACCTTTTCAATGATTTCTTGTGATAGGTTGCTATTTTTTGGATTTTGGGATTATCAGATGATGTTGTAAGCTCAAAGATCTCGATATTTTAAGATAAACGTGTTGTTTTATTGTTGGGGGCTGCAATTCTGTTAACATGGTGGCTATTTTTGTATATCGTGGGTATTTTTTTATGATACTCATGCATATGTTTTGAATCACTTCTACTTTTCTATAGTTAGACTTACAAGTATAACTCCATACTGGCGAAGAATATGTGATTATAGGGCAGATAATTGCTTTCTATAGAATTAATTTATTTTTGAAGATAATTGGGAGTATCTATTGAAATACGGGATTTACAATTATACACTTACATTAGTTTCTGGACAACCGTATATAACATTTCCTTAGGGGTTCTAAGCCATGATTCTTCGGATGTTTAGACATAAATGCATTATCTATCTAATTTTTATAACCATTGGTAGATCGGTCTATGGTAACACTCAAAGTAAGAGTTCCGCTCTACAAAATAATTTATCAGTTATTTTATACACAAATATTTTATGTTTGTCATATATAAAAAAATGACTTTTCATGGTGTAAGACTAGAAAATTTATATTCAGTCATGTCTGAAGTCCTGAACCAATGTTTCAAATTTGGTCTGATAAATGTCGATCCGAAAAAATATCGCGTTTATTAAAAAATTGTATCAGTTACAGGTGATTGTTTATCAGTTTCTTTATCAAATAAGTATATGCTATAAATATGTTGGATGTTTCCAATGAAATCATAGGAAAATGTAATACCATTGATACTTTTTTTTTATGGGTTGCGGTGTACCGCGGGATATGAACAATGATTTATGAAAGTCGAGTTCAAGAAAATTTTGTGGGCACTGAACTACTTTTTTTATCTATTTATATAAATACGTATTTATCATAATATGAAATTATTTATTTTATTTTACAATGTTTGAAGTTATAATTAAAGACAGATTATCCATCAGTGGTTTATTTCCTTTGTTGAAAAAAATGTTTACCAGTCGATCAATTTTTTTATTACAGCTATTCTTAACACCGGATTAAAAATTTTATTTTTGTGGATTTAAAGATAAATTGAAATAATTTTTTTTTTAGATTTATTCTTGTTTATTAAATTTGTTAATTAAAGTACATTAAATTATTAAAAACTATGAGACTGTTTTCTTCACATAACGTTACCATCAACCATAAATAACAGCGGCAAAGTATAGTAGTCTAGCAAATTCTTACTTTTAGGATTCTAGACAATCAGGACCAACTGGTGATTTGAAATTTAAATAGCGTTGCATAAAATTTCATTTGTCTTATGAACCAGAACAAATCCCAAAAAGCCAGAGGAACTTACTACTTGATCCAATAATTTTCTGCGGCTCCTCTTCGGTCGGGAATTCCGAAGATTGGATCTCACGTCGGTGGCCACACTATCTATCCATCCTGGCCTTCCCACTCTTGTGGTGGCCTGTATCTTTTCATCGATTATCTTCCGAAGAATCTGTTCAGGTGTCAACCTAGCAATATGGCCTGCGCGCTGGAACCGTCCGACCATGACGATTCTAGAGCTTCTTGAAAATTGCTGCTAAAAAAATGAATATTGTCTTTATTATATATATATATATATATATATATATATATATATATATATATATATTTATCGAACAAAAACTAAATAAGTTGACCTGCTCTGATCTATTCTTACAAATTTGGAAAATAAAATATTTATACACCAAAAAGTTCACGTTTTATAAGAAAACATTCATATTATTTATATCATTATTAGAAATATTATGTTTCTAATAAAAACCCTTTTGAATTAATGAAATATATCATTTATATGACTCGTAATATAGAATTTTAACCTGTTAATTTTTATATGTTTTCATGTTTTTCCATACGGAGATCTCTCTATAGCGAAAAAAAAAATCGATTCCCCGTTGTCGTCCGCTGCTGATACGTTTTAATGTGTTATTTCTATATTAGTTGCGATTTACGACTAAAAAATAAGTGTTTAGTACTAAAAATATAGACATTAACCGTTAATTTTCAACCGATTTTGGAAATAAGTATTTTACTTTTATTATGAGAAAAATGAAAAAAATTAAATATTGTAAAGTAGGATAATTTAAACAGTCTTTTGACTCCTTTGGTAGATATAGAGTTGAGAAAAAAAAAAAAAAAAAAAAAAAAAACATGAACACAATTAATGAAGAAAAGTCATGAAGTCGTGCCGGACCTATCAACTACAAGCCTTCCATTCCTTCATATCGTTATCAGTCTGTCTTGAATTTTATTTATTGGCAGCCACTGAATGTTAGTTTTCTTACCGACTGGATTGGTGAGCTCCACGGATCCCAAGGTAGTGTGGGTACCGATCAGTAGTAAAAAAAATATCCTACACTGCCCGCCTAATTTTTTCCCGAGCCAAGGTATTATTTTTGTAGTGTATAGATAATGGGATGATTATCCGGACGTGACTGTGCCGCGTGCCTCTTGCTCGGAGAGAATAAGAGCCTTGGAGCTACATGATGACCATTTTATTGTGCTTCGGCGAGCTAGGACAATCGCTCTTTGTGCCCGCTTCCGGAAGCCACACCTCTCATTTCGGCCTCCCCCCCCCCCCAGGCTAAATGGATTCGCCAATGACATTCTGGCTAGTTTTTGTGATGCTCATCGCTGGATTTATATGATGGAACACGAGAATTACGAATTTAAAATAAGGTATAAATTATTTCCAGGAAATTGCTAGAAAAAAAATCTGGTGCGGTACATCATACAAATTTTACTTAGCACTACTTTCAGTAGAAATTAATTTTATAATAATCTAAAAATAAAGTGATAGCGCTGGAGCCAGGGCCCGAAAATCGACCTCACAGCAGGCCAAGGTTTGAATGTTAATTACGAAAGTGTATGTTATTCTGAGTAAAATTAAAACTGTTGGTACTCGATGGACGCAAAATATTATGCCCTACAACTTTGATTATGTGGGTTTTTACTCTTAGGAAACTTATTTCCAAGCTATAGAGTCATTTGTAGTAATTTGTCTCAGTTTTTGACAAATTTGGTAAAAATCAGCGTTGGTTGACCGTGGTTTTTTACCTTATCATTTATTCAAATTATTACGTTTATGAACTCTTTCAACGCACAGTTTCACGATCTGTAATTTCCTAAAGAGTACATTTCGCTTTGATGCATCGTTTAGGAGTTATAAGTGAAAAAACAAAAAAATATCTGACATTTTTGGCTGTAAAAAGTATTCCCTTGGTGGCCCGCGTTAGCAATTTTGTTTTTTAGATCTCTAAACCCGCATATTTAAGTTTTAAAAATACAACATTTACTCACATTTTTTTGGAATGAATTTCCCCGTTTCGATCCTCAAGTTACTGGCTTAATATTCTTTAAATCAACCACCAATTTTGAAAGCAGTGGCTTTGGAACGGCAGACAAACTTCATTTTACTTAGAATAACATACAATTTCGTAATTTACATGCAAACCTATGCCTGCGATGAGATCGATATTTAGGCCCTGGCAGCAGGACTTGAGAGAACAGTATGCCCTCCAGTATAAATAGAATTACTATTTCTTAATTAAATTTTTAAAGGTAATTTTCAATTTTTTCCAAGTCAAAGTCAATTTTTTAAAGTAATTTTCATTTTTTTTTCCCAAGTGAAATTCAACTATTTCCGAGATAAATTAAACTTTTCTTTTCTTCAATTATTAAGACTTTTGGAATTTTTCTATATAAGACTTATGTCGAAAAAAGAAATATATATATTTTTTGTTATTGTATTCTTTTCTATTATTAATATATATTATGATGATTCTAAAAATAAAGCTTCATGTCTGTCAAAGACTATAGAATAAATAGTTCAGGCATCATGATTGTACCTTACATAAAACCATACCTAACACAACCCGAGTCATTAATCAATGACATAAAGTATACTTTTGTGGCAAGATTATTTAAGAATCAAGGGGGAGGCTAAAAGGTGAAAATGAAAGTGCTTCTCTCAAAAAAAATAAATAAAGAAAATCCAAACAGTAAATAAAAAAAAAAAGTGGAACTTAGATATCATAAATTTAACATTTTTTCCATTGTTTCATGGAGAATTTAAAAAAAAAATCCATAAACTTTGACATATTTCAAATCTGCTTTGCTATCCATGGCTTCGAGTTGCCGCTTTGCCCGCTTATCTCTTATTACGCTGATGGGTCTTTTTATTTATTTTGCTGTACAATGTACAGTCTTTGTTTTGTATTTATGCGATCTTATCTTATGATGCCTCAATTTCTAGTAGGGACCGGAAGCCACTCCGACGGAGATGTTGGATGTTGGACCCCTCTGCTGCAAATGTGGTCGAGAGTCTGAAACACCAGCTCATGCATTTGGCAAATATCTTACAACAAGCTCCTTTTACTCCGCTGGTACAATAACATAAAGAAACGAATATGCAGGCTCCTTTAAATTAATAACTATAGGTGTTTTCTCGAAACTTAATGCCTAAATACAGAAGGCTCAGCGTTTTAGCGTTTAATGCGGCAGAAAAGGAGGCATAGGAATAGTGTATCTCACGATCAGCTTTGAAAATAACCTTCAAGACCAAGACTTTACAGGCAGAGAATGAGAATATTTATAGGAAATGCATACCTTAAATAAAAGAAAAATATAGAGATGAATTCGGTGAAAGACAATTCAGAGTTAAAGGGCTGTGGTTCGGAAGTAAGATAGCCATCCCTCTTGATACATGTAATCTCTTGTAGAGGATCGGTGTTGGAAGGGAGCAGATGCAAATAATGGCATAAATTATTATTTTAGACTCATTGAGAATCCTCCACATATATTAATATTTCGGTTATTCGATTCTGTACACTGTTAACATATTCGCTAAATATTAAAATGGTCCCACCTTTTCTCTTTTGTTTTGGTTTTAGATAATATCTGTTGACTGTTTAATTTAGTAACTCAACAAAGTTGTGCAGCCGTGCAATATCACTTGGCGTTTGAGAGTTTTCTAGCACTGTTTTCGAACTTCCAATTATATTCTAGCAATTTTATTTTAGTTTTAACCTTTTTAACCCTTTTTTTTTTTTGTTTTTCAGGTCGGGGAGCAGGCGGTCTTGTCAATACGAACGCAATGATCATCGTGTGCGCTGCATGTGAGAAACCCATCTTGGACAAGTTCTTGTTGAACGTGTTGGATCGAACATGGCACGCAGAATGCGTCCGCTGCTTCGATTGCCACTCCAACTTGACTGACAAGTGCTTTTCCAGGGAGGGGAAACTCTTCTGCAGAAACGACTTCTTCAGGTAAGTCTATCGATCCATAATATATAATAATCGATTATTTATTTAACTTAACCGTCATCGATTCAGGCATAAGAGTAGTTTATTTTTCGATGTATATATATATTTTTTTAAATTCGGTAAAAAGCTTTTTTAAATCATCAAGATTTTGAATGAGTGAAAAAACCCTTAAAAATATTATCCATTATTATATTCTTCCGTGTTTTTTTTAATTATATAAATAACGAACTCACTCATCAATAAAAACTTTATACACATAAAAATTAAATAATAATATTAACGCCAATTCGAACTAATGTAGTACATAAATACCATATACATACAAATCTATAAAATGAATACAACACATTATAAGGGATATATTATTAAAATAAATTTTTAACGACCAACATTTCAAGATCTGTTGTTTTTAAAAATTCACCTTAAAATAACTTTTGCGAAATTTCAAGAAATAAATTAAACCTTTATTATTCAAAATTTTCGTGCATTTAAAAATAAAAGTCAAACAATCAAATATGTATAGTAACTCAATTTTTTAAAAATTACTATATGATTAATTTTATGTATGTTTGTAATTATTTGTATGTGAATTAATTTTTTTAAATTAATTATGGTATGAGTGTAAACATTTCAAATATCCCCCCCCCCATTTTTAAATTTCATTTATAAATCTGTTTTAATAATATTTATTACAATTTGTTATAGTAAAGTATATCAGTAATATTTTTTCAATTGAAGGAAATTACTTATTTATTAAATTACAGTAACCAGAGGACATACATACATTTGCATTAATGGTTTGTGAATCTATAGTCTTTTGAGATGAAGGGTTTGCAATTAACATGTTTCTACGTTTTCCACTCCTCGCTTGGAATATATTGCTTGGAATAATTTACTTTACTCAGTTTATAAATTTAATATATAACCTATTGTTGATAAAATGGAATTTTATCGAATAAATAATTTGATTAATCCGTATGATGATGAAATAGAAAAATTCCCTTCATATAATTTTATTTTTCTTAGAGAGGTTACTCAATTAAAGCAATTTAGAGTTTTCTATGAAACAAATTCACCATTAGTATTGTGAATAATTTGGTTGACAATTAATTACTTTAATCTTAATTTTTTTAAGTTATATCGTTTATGCATTTTATTTTTTAAGTCTTTTATAGGACGTCTTTTGCATCTAAGTTGCTTGTCAAACCATATAACGATATTCCCATTCTTTTATGAGTAATTTCTGAACCAATTTTAAGTTTTGCATTAAATAAAAAAATTAGTTCGATATTGCAACATTCATCACTTATTAAAGAATTTCCTAATTTATTTTATTTTATATAATATGTTTGTGTATAATTATTCATGATAGATGTTAATTTATGATTGAACATAACTACGTACTGGATCAGTTCTGGTTTTTCGTTAAACTTTTTGAAAGCCACTATCATTCTGTTCATTGTTTTTTTTTTTTTTTTTTTTTTTTCTGTAAAATTTTATTAATTATCATGATTGAAAGCTCCTTTACATTTAAAACTGGAGGTTATCTTTCAATTTTATTTTATATTCCGTTCTACCATGTTACTTGTGGAAAATATGTGTACTGGAAGCAGATAAATAAATATTATTTAATTACATGCCATGTCATAAAATTATTTATTTTTATAGATTGTTTTTCTTGCTGATTCTTAAACTCCATTGTTGCATATATCAGTACTAATACTTTGCAACTGATCATTTAAAAATAAAACAATCTTAATTACATGCCATGTCATAAAATTATTTATTTTTATAGATTGTTTTTCTTGCTGATTCTTAAACTCTATTGTTGCATATATCAGTACTAATACTTTGCAACTGATCATTTAAAAATAAAACAATCAAGTTATTTTAAGAACTAAAAAAACAAAACAATACTACTTATAGACTTAAATATCAATTTTAAATTCAATGTATATAGTGCAATCAAACTTCATGGAAGTTTGGTTTTGAAAAAAAATTAACATTACCATATTGATTAAAAAATTTGTTTTGTTTTCAGATCTTAATAATTATTAATACATGAATTGATTTTTAGTAAAATATTTTCCTCCGGATCATATGAACTTGCACCAGAGGCCTTAACTACTGTAAATTTATTTAAGCACAGTAGTTAATTTGAGTTAATTTATTTTCTATAAGAAATTTTATTGAATATATATTTAATTAAAATATTGCCCAATCATTACAATACGATTTAAAAAACGTATATAAATAACATAACCTTAACATTAAGCTTTTAAATAATTCCTATTGTTTTCTTGAGATTCTTAAAAACGGTCTAATTTACAATTAATTATTGATTTTAATTTCACATTGCTCTTCTATCTTCTTATAATTTTATGTTGCTCTTGTTATATTGGAAAATAAGCGTGAGTTGATAATGTTTAAAATATGGAAAACAGAAATAATTATTCTTTATCCTCCCATATTCGTCCATGGTTCATTCTCTTCGTATTATCCCACATCGGTGTATGGGTTTCAAGATCAAGTTTATTTATGTTTATACTTTCGTAATTCAAGTGTATATGAAAATAAATCATTAAGCTTTTATATGTTGAACATCGTTCATATAAGTATTAGATTCCCTGTTACCGATACCTGTTTAATTTTAACAGTACAATTAACACAGTGTGAACTCAATTTTCATTTACGAACTAAAATATATAGGAATTTTGGAGCCACTGTGTATCTCTTTATTTGTCGGATTGGCTATTGTTCGAGTGGTTTTGAACTTATTTGACCGGATTCATTTTTAATGTTTGAAAATTTAGCTGTCCTTCATTGTTCGAACCCGTTGTTAGATTTGTTTCAACTTTTTTGTTTTTTTTAATGATTGTTTGAAAAGTGTGACGTTCATTTCAGTAATCTAAAGAGGAAGTTATAGAGATTTGTAGGAATAACAGAGGTGAATAGAATGTAATGGAAAGGACCCAAGACGCTGCCTTGTGGAACACCGGTCTCAATTGGATAACAATTGGAAAGTACTGTGTCACAGCGAACTCGGAAGGAACGGTTATAAAGGTGGGATCTAAGGTCTTGATATAAGCATTGGCGTAAATGGATTCTGATATTGAAAGGCCAGCCGTCATACTCGTTCGAAAGCTTATCGCTAAAAGCATTAAAATTAATCATGAAGTTATTTATTTTAAAAAATAATTAACTTAAGTTAGATGATATCGTCTTTTCATTCGTCACGGAATTATTACTTAGGAGCAGTAGCTATATTAATTTTATTTATTTATTAATAACGATAATTATAGGAACTATCATGATTTTAGAGATAAATCTATATATTTTTATTTGACTTGTGTTTTGATCAGGTAGCTGAAGTAAATGCGTTATATTTTAAAAAGAGACCATATTGTTATAGATTATGTATTTGGCTCAGATTAGTCATAGAAGCACACATCGACCATTGAAAAAAAATACAAACTATTTTTCTTTTTTTGGAGCTGGAAAGGACAGGGAGGTGGTGGATTAAGACTGGAAACAGACTTCCTTTGAATCTATCAGTGTTTAGAAGACTTAAAAGTGAAAATTCAGCACTGTCACTACTAATGGCAATGTTTGAATCAGTATAAAGATAACCAATATGGGGTCAATAAATAGCTTAAAGCTTTGGGAGATTTTGTGATACTTAAAATAAGATCTTATTATTACTCATAAAATAAATGAATGAAGTAAGTTTTATTTCTTTTCTTATTTAAGACATGACAAAACCAGATAAATAAATTTACAAAATGCTTGTATATTACTAAAGGAAAAAATAAAAACCTGTAAACCACTGCAGCTCATGAAGGGTCTTGGGTTCAGTATATCGCAGGATTTTCCAATCCCAGGATCGATCATAGGCTTATGTAAGAGAATAAATAATTACTTGCCACAGCCGGATTCGAACTCACGACTTTCAACATAGGAAGTCTGTGCCTTATTCACTTTACCATCCCAATCCTATATTACTAAAATAAAATTTTATAAACCATACATGACATTCTATATATTATTTATATATGATACGTTTCTCGAAGAAGACTAAAGATTAATAAATCTTTTTTTTTTCTATTTTTCTTATTTATTAGTTATGTACGGATACAAGACAGTACAATCATACTAAGTGGAGGATAAGTCAGTGTTAAAACGCATTTTAAAAACATGCTATAAATTATGTCGTATTCTTCCTGACCGCTAGTCGACAATCCTTGATAAGAATTCTCGCATAACATTATGCAAATATTATTTATAGAACAATGTATATAAAGTGACATGCATATACGTATTTATTTATTAATTTGTATGTAGTTTTTTTATTTATTTTTTAATTATGAATGAAAACTAGTCCATTCAGGTTATAACTCTTTGTCGGCCTCTTTATTTATTATTCTTTTTTTTAAATATTAATGTTATTAGAATATATTAAATTGAATTTATTGAAACTAGTGATAGGTGTAAAATCAATGAAAAAAAAAATAAAATAAAACTTCTTAATAAATTAGTTCAAATAAAAAGAATTAATCTAGTATTAATATTATTTTTTATTAGTTTGACGTTTTTCGCCCATTTTTGGGAGCTCATTTTCTCTCCATAGTATTGTAGAACGTTCAACATTATTATTCCTATTATCAATTGAAACTGTTATTTGTAAAAAATTATCTCATTCAATCTAATACACCGCATATTTAAGTAAGGTAATAATAAAATTGAATTTTTGGTTAGGTATAGGATGTAAATAGTTTCAATTAATAATGAGAATAATAATTCGTTCAACTTCCTACTAATCATATGGAGAGAAAGTTATTAAACCATGAGCTTTTGGAAATGTGTAAAAAAAAGCCTAACCTCAAGCTAATATAATAATGAAAATAATTTGAAGATCTGATTAATAAAATAAAAAATCTTCGTAATAAAATTTATAATAAAAAGTATCAAACAAGTATTTATGCATCAATGTTGGTAATTGGTCAATATGATTCACATTTATTCATTTTATATTTTGTTTTTTTATAAATAAAATTAGTCCGTGGTACAAACCACTTTTTATCGAATTATAAAAATTCGTCTAAGACTTTAAGAATGTCTTCATCTCATCGTAGCCTACAACTTTTTTACTTTCGAAAATTCTCGAAAAGGGGGCGTTTTAATATGGAGATCTGTAAACTCTCTCTATTTAATGGGGTACTAAAAACTCATGGACAACCATTCGATTTTCTCTTGAATCATAACATACTTTGATCACAAAATTGAGAAAAATGTAGCCTACAAAAATATTGAACCGTTTGTCGTGACCTCCATCCTAAACATGTCAAAATAACGAGGGCATATAGGCCAAACGGCCAAAAAATATTTTTGTAGGTCACCTTTTTTTTTCTAAATATTCTGACCAATGTATCTTAGTACAGCTGAAGTATCTTAATGAGTTTTCAGTACCTCATTTAATTAATAAATTTAAAGAGAAAATGTCCCATTTCTGAGAATTTTCTCAGAAAATTTATGGGTTAAATCTTATCGTAGCCATTCACAAAGTTTTAGACAAATGTTAATAATTTCTTAAAAAATGGACGTCTCGTAAAAAATTTAAGATAGAAAAAGAAAATACTGATTTATTTGGTTATTGAGAAAGAAAACTCCATATTTTAGATATATAATTTCATTGAAAAAATATTAGATGATATTATGTTAGTGGTCAATAATACTACAGTATATTTTTTGGCAAAAGGTGTATCAGTTACAACGGAAAAGAATTGTCATGAGGTGGAACCACCATTAAATTGGTAAGGTATCTGAGGAGATCTTATATAGGAAGCTACTCAAGGTTTTGGAGTTGGGGCAGAAAAATCATTTGGAACACACAGAATGTAACGAGAGTAACATTGGAAGCAAATTGATGGTTGCGTTTCGACACCTCATTTTGGAATACGTAATGATGTCAGGATAATGTGGCATTGAACGAGCATCAGGACGCATAGGGACTTGTTGAGTGAAATTGTCGACAAGCAAAGCAGTAAACTTGGCTAACGGCTTAACGAAGATAAGATCAAAGCAAGATCCTAAGCCGAAAAATACACCCGATTAACAGGATCAGGATAGTCGTTAACTTTCCCTAATGTAGATTATGTAAATACTTACGATGTAACTTCAACAACTTAACGATTTACTGTAAGGAATCTGTGAAGTGTTACGTAGAATAATTCGATTTT